CCGCCTCTCTTCCTCCGTCACCCGCGGCACCTGTTGACGTCTCGAGCCTCCTGCTGCTGTGGTGGTGGTGGTTGTGTTGTTGTGGTTGTGCTGCTGCTGTTGTTGTGGTTGTGTTGTGGTGGTTGTGCTGCTGTGGTGGTGGTTGTGTTGTTGTGGTTGTGCTGCTGTTGTGTTGTTGTGGTGGTTGTGGTTGTGCTGCTGTTGTGTTGTGCTGCTGCTGTTGTGGTTGTGGTTGTGCTGCTGTGGTTGTGCTGCTGTGGTGGTGGTTGTGTTGTTATGGTTGTGCTGCTGTTGTTGTGGTGCTGTGGTGGTGGTTGTGCTGTTGTTGTGGTTGTGGTGGTTGTTGTGCTGTTGTTTGCTCGTCCACTGCGCGGCTGCGTCTATGTGAGGCGATGAGGCCGACGCCGGGTACTGATCCGACACTTCTACTCCCACCCGAGTGGTGAGTCGTGATCGGGTCTGGGTGAGTGGTGAGTGGTTGTGGGTGAGTGGTTGTGGGTCGGACTGGGTGAGTGGTGATTGGGTCTGGGAGAGTGGTGAGTGGTTGTGGGTGAGGCAGACTGGGGTGAGTGGTTGTGGGTGAGGCAGACTGGGTGAGTGGTTGTGGGTGAGGCAGACTGGGTGAGTGGTTGTGGGTGAGGCAGACTGGGGTGAGTGGTTGTGGGTGAGGCAGACTGGGGTGAGTGGTTGTGGGTGAGTGGTTGTGGGTGAGGCAGACTGGGTGAGTGGTTGTGGGTGAGGCAGACTGGGGTGAGTGGTTGTGGGTGAGGCAGACTGGGTGAGTGGTTGTGGGTGAGGCAGACTGGGTGAGTGGTTGTGGGTGAGGCAGACTGGGTGAGTGGTTGTGGGTGAGGCAGACTGGGTGAGTGGTTGTGGGTGAGGCAGACTGGGGTGAGTGGTTGTGGGTGAGGCAGACTGGGTGAGTGGTTGTGGGTGAGGCAGACTGGGTGAGTGGTTGTGGATGAGTGGTTGTGGGTGAGTGGCGAGTGCCCCCGGGTTCGTTAGAGTGTGGTGTGAGTGTGGTCTGTGCATGGATGTGTGCGGTGCATGTGTGTGGTGTGTGTGTGGTGGATGTGTGTGGGGTGTGTGTGGTGCGTGTGTGTGTGTGGTGCGTGGTGCGTGATGGATGCATGAATGACACCAGCTATTGATGGGAGTGCATTCTGTCTTCTGCTGGGTCCCGGGCGGTGCAGGAGGTGTCTCGGCTGAAGGTCCCGGTCTCTAACGAGCACAAGGCATGTGGGAGGAGGACCCGGAGCTCACAGATAGATCCCCTGGGCATGACGGTTTCGCGCCCAAAGCTCCACACAGACGCATTCAAGAAACAATCGCTCTTCTGTCATCTCGCAGCCTAAGCCGATAACACCTGGTGTTCTCGCACAGTGTCCCGTAAAAGCACTAACCAGGTAAGATAACTGCTGAGCTTGCATACTCGAACATGATGGCGCGCTGTTAGAGTGATTTTGGTTATTTAACCTTGCGGAAGAGTAAACTCTACGAGATTGAATGAACGAACTGGTGATCGTGGGCCCTTTTGGGGCTGTGTTATGGTGTCTAACCCTAAGGTGCACGTTTTGTGCTTTAACCGCCTTGGCTCCATTGTCCTCGGCAGTGAGTGGCTGCATCCATTTGGAGATCGCTGAGGACAACACAGATGGGTATACGCATAGCCCATCAATGTACGCCTGTCAGGTTGCAAAAGAGAAATGTCTTGAACGTTAATCCAGTTCATATTCAGACGCGTCCGACAAGGAGGCGTGCGGTGTCCTGAGCCTGAGCCTTTCCTTCGACAGTGGGTCCTAGGGCAGGCGCAAGGGCCCACAAACCCAATCGGCTAAGCTCTGCACGGCCACACGTCGTGGGGTTCTCAGTCTGGGTCGACATAAAATCCCTTCCCTGCAGCTTAGTGGAAAGTAGGCCAGTGAGGAAAGGTCGCACTTGCTTCTCAGCTGTCACGATTCAGGATCACTATTTTATTTCAAGAATGGAAATTCAGAACCTCTAGTGGCGGCAAGGTTTTTAAGTTCTGTTTGTTATTTATTAATTAAAATATTTTATCCGGATCATTGGTTGAGATGGAACATCTCGCTTGCAAGGGTGTAAAGTGATATGCAAAGCCTTAAAGTGCAACAAGATAAGAAAATAATTCTTAGACACAATTATATGCATGTATTGTGAAACTTGATTTCCATGACTCGATGCATGGCTGCTTGTTTGCTTGAGTGGTATGCCACTGTGAGCTATGCGAGTAGTAATGCTTGTGTATAGGGGCTCATAGTGCCACAGGAGGTCGTGGGTTCGATCCCAACCCTGAAGCCTGCTGTATATTTGGAGTTTGCATGTTCTCCCCGTGGTCGCGTGGATTTTCTCCGGGTCCTCCGGTTTTTCCCTCCACATTTAGTAACAAGCGTTTAGAGTATTTGGCTGCTATAAATTTCCACATGCTAAGCCACTTAGTTGAGCTATCATTTCGTGGCCAGGTTGCTTCTGAAAAAGAGCTTCATAGTTCAGTGGGCCTTACCTGGTAAAATAGAAAATAGTTTTAGTTGAATTGCCCGAACCTGCTCCTCTACGGAGTGTTTATTCTGTCAGTGAAGCAAATCGAGTGATGCGTCAACGTTGTAACAAGCGGTGACACCTCGCCCCTTGGTGGATGGCTGTTCGCGTACTTTTGTTCAGTTGAGACCACAAACGGCTTGTGCCTTTAAGTTGCAACGTCTGGTTACTCGATCTGAACAGACCGGGTTTCCACCGGCTCGGGTTCCCAGCGAGCGGAGGGGGGGCGAGGCCTTCGGTTGCCGGAAGCCGCGTGATCTCCATGGGGCCGTTTTCCCTGACTGCAAAACTCCCCTCGTGCCGTTTGACGATCTTCCTTCTCGCCTACAGCAGCAGAACCTTGTTTAACCATATTTGTTGATCTCTTTATAAGAGTGGGTGGACCATTTTATCGTCAAACTAAAAAAACTAAACTAAACCATTTTTATTTATTCTACCAGGTTAGACCCACTCAGCTATGTATGTCTTTTTCAGAAGCGATTTGTCCACAAATGATAGCTCAACAAAGTGGCTTACGTGGAAATGTATAGCAACCAAATAATCTAAACGCATGTTTCTAAATGTGGAGGGAGAAACCAGAGGACCCGGAGAAAAATCCAAATATACAGTAGGCATCAGGGTCGGGATTGAACCCACAACCTCCTGTATACCAGGCGATGAAGTTAACATCTCCGAGCCACCGCGGCGCCCCAGTCACGAGGCAGCTTAGAGAGAGGTGGTGTGCGGTGAGTGCACGCCAGCACTGCAGAGGGCCCGGCCTCCTGGGTCTCCTGGCAGACGCGGCGGTTGGGCCAGGCGGCAGCAGCGGCACGTGTGGGCATGCTCGGCGTCGAGAGCACCTGCGAGCGGTTTGTGCCACGTCCAGGCATTAACCCCTCCATAGTCACTCGCTACGGCGTCCTGCGAGGGGGATTTGGTGGCACTTTGATACAGGATAGAGGTGTAAGAGAGTCACACGAGTCGTAGGGAGCGCTCTCCCCAGCCCCATCCACACATCGCACTCTCTATCTCCTCCTGCCCGTCCATTCTGACCCTTTCAGAAGGTTCTCCTCCCACTCTTCCTTTCCACCAACCCTGTACCTTGGTCTCTTCCTCCGCCTCGAACTGTCTTCTCTAGTTTCTCTTTCCCCTCCATATCTCTCTCCAAGTCCTCCCATGCTCCCTCCCCCTGGATGCTCCCTCCCCCTGGATGCGCCCCTAGCCGTCGTTATTTAATTAATTACTGCAGAGTGTTTTTCCACCGTTTAGTTGAAGGCAAATTTGAAATTGTGGATTTAATCAGTTCGTAATAATTACATAATTGTTTTTGTTTACCCAAGAAAGCGTCAAGACTTTTTCAGCAGGGTCCTGACACATTTTTGCAGTAGGGGGAGATGTCGTTATATGTAATCACACTTCCGTAATTTGCAGTTTAGTTGTTATGCATTGGGATGGTTTGGCCAACACCGGTTACATTGCGTGGTTTTTTTTATCTTTCGGAGGAAACCGGACAACTCGGAGGTATCCCATGCAGAGCAGGTGGAGAGAACATGCAACTCCACACAGGAAGGTGCCTGAGTTTGGACTCGAACCCAGGGCCCTCTTGTTGTGAGGCACCAGTATTGCCACTGCGCTGCTGCCGTGCTGCCCCGTCTGTGTTCAATACCGATGGAACTTGTGCTCTCGCCATATTGAAAACGCATTTAGTCGGCGATTTCGTCACTGTTTCTAACATTTGAATGTGCGATTATTGTTTCAGGATACATGATGGCAGTGACGGAACATTTGAAGAGAGCTTCATAAACGACACTCACCTTGTTTTATGCAGACACAACTGTTGTTCTTACACAGAAATGAAAGTATGGAATTGCGATTCAAGGGCATTGTATAACCACTGTGTTCACAACACATTAATCCTCGGAAAAAGTGGTTCTATGAACACAGCATCTTTTTACTTGCCCGTCCAACTGATTTCATTTGAAGACTGCATGCTCTCTTGAGTTCCGAGTGCGCTGCTGGCATGAATTTAAAGGCCGATGGGAACCACGAGGCAGCTCCTGCAGCGAACGGCCCCAGTTCTGTACAGACGTTGAGAACGATGGAGCTCAAGGGTCCGGTGGTCTCCGAGAGTCCTTGTGATGCTGCCGAGAAGACAGAGAAGACGAACGATGGAATCTCTGTCCCGGTGCTGCAAGTCGGTGACCCGGATGCCGCTCACCCCAGGTCGAGGGGCAAAACAAGTTCTCTTTGCTTGGGCCAGTCCGATGCAAGCGGCGCCTGCGCGGTCAGCGAGAGCTCTCGCAGCCTGCCGCCGGCGCCGTCGTTCGGCTCCGCGCGGTACGAGGCTGGTCACGGCGTGCGGCGCCCCTTGCCCGCGCCGCGACCCGGCTGCAACGGCGACCTGGGCGACGTCCCGGACGGGTTGCAGGGCTGGCACGGCAGGACGGATGGCCTGAGCCTGTCCAGCACCAGCACCGAGCTGTCGGGCAGCGTGAGCCTCTCGGACTTTTCTGGGATGCACCTGGACAGCGCCTCGAGCGCCATCGTGCCACTGCACACGGACGAGTCGATGTTCATGGACGTGAACCTACACGCGCGCAACAGCTGCGAGTGGGCTCCTGGGCAGAAGGCCGAGCCGCGGCCTCCCGGTGCCGAGCCGACGCACGCACCCCAGGGCAGCCTGCAGGGCCTCAGCGGATTCTTCTCCCGGTGGGTGTTCAATATAACGCATTCATCGGAAGCGCTACCTTCAAAGGAAAAGGCGAAGTTTCAGCCATTGGCATCTTCATAGCGCACAGAGAATTCAGAGAAACCATTTCATTCACACACCTTCTAAAACAGCTTTTCATTCTGTTGCAGCTCAGTGATCATAGATACAAAAATATTCTGTATGGAATTTTAACAAATGCCAAGGTGCCTGGATTCTGCTGGGTGGCAATTCTTGGGCCCAGACTCTGGGTGTCAATCCGGGGTAATCACCCAACATAAACCAGGCTCTCAAGTCGAGGATGTTGATTATGATACTTTTAATTGATGTCACGTATAAAAATACCCAAGCATCTCAAGATACTGCACAGGACTAACACTCTTCATATTTTGTTCCACGGTCTCTGTCATAGCCATGTTTCCGATCCCAGTGTCATGGCAGGTAATGTGCACTGGTTGAAACGTTATCGTTTAGGCACTATTGATGCGTTTCGTCTGTAAAATGAACAATAATAATAATCACAATCTGTTATATTAAAACTATGGCTTGTGAGAGGCTCCTCTGCCTTCAGACATGGTCAGTGCTGCACCAGGGCCTCCACACCCAGAACCGAGAGCCATTCAGCTACCACTCTCAGAACGACCGACCAATTGCCCATCTCCTACGACGATGACAGGGGTTGACATTTCAGAGTCATCTGTAGATAAACAAAAATCACATTACATTAACTCAATCACTGAGGCCTGGCCTAGCCCTGGTCTGCACAGTGCGAAGCCGCGGCTGCATCGCGCTGCACTGTGGACGCCGGGACCCACTGGCGCTTGTACTGTGAAGTGTGGCGTTCGGCGGAGGAGTTCACAAAACAGCAACAGTGACTGGGAGGCGGCCACAGGCTCCAGTGAGACCAGCACCGGGCACGTGGATTTGGATGGGCGTTGTGCAATATTAAATTCGTTGTTTCTCTGTTGTTATTTCCGGTTGTGTCTTGCGTGAAGTGGCGACGCAAACTGAGCATGGTGCGAATCTCTGTTCCCACAGGAGCTTGTTTGGGGCCAAGGTGCCGAGCTCCTCGGTGGGAGCGGGCCCGAGCGTGCCGGGGTGGAGGCTGTTCGGCAGGGTCCCGGTGCGCAGTGGCTCCAACCGCGACTCTCGAGCCATCCAAAAGGTACGGCGAGCGTGCGTGCACGTGCAGAGGCTACAAGCGCACGGCCTGGGACAGAAGTGGCCGGCCGTTTAAGAGTTGTCGTTTAAGATTTTATGTTTAAGGGGTGTGTTTAAGGGTTTATATATAAGGGTTGGCGTTTAAGGGTTGGCGTTTAAACGTTGGCGTTTAAGGGTTGGCGTTTAAGCGTTGGCGTTTAAGGGTTGGCGTTTCAGTGTTGGCGTTTCGCGGGATTTAAGTAGCCCTCCACGCGGTGGGTTGGACGGAGGCTAGGAGCACAGCAAGTGGGTTCTCATGCCCTTCTGTGCAAACCTTTGTTACACCTGGAATACCCCATAGGGAAACGCTGCTGAGTTACATAATGTCATTGAAATGCATTAACAAACCCTGCCGCATGCGGCTCTTTAAGGACTGATTCCTGACGTTATTTATTAAAGACCACCGTCTCATTCACGTGCATTTTAGCTCTTGAAATTCGAAAAAAATGGCTTCTTATTTTTGGTTGCCGACTCCTGTATTAGTTTATCATCAGGTCTTCATCTCTTCATCTCTTCTACCTGATGGACTTTCCCCCCTGGCACAGGGGAGGGCGTTGTGGATCCGGGTGATTCCGACATGCGGCATGGTCAGCAGTCCACCCCTTGGTAGGGTTGATGTGTTCGTACGCTCGCCCGGCAGTGCTTCCTGCCTTGAAAAGCAAAGGCCTGTGCATGTAGAGCCGGCTTTGCCAAACAAGAATGTGGCTACAGCACGTTTGGGGAAGGCTCTCACATAGCAGCAGCAGCAGCAGGGCGCACACAACTTGATGTGACGTCACGTGTTCAAATCGATCCACAACAAAATCGTTTTTTCATTTTCAAAAACCTCCATACCTTTGCCAAAATTTTTGGATGAACACCAATAATATTATTGGAACATATCCCTCCTGCGTGCACGCGCACGTGCAATTCACTGTAGAACTCGTGATCATGCCAGCCTCTGCCTACGGGGGCAGTATTTGTCGGCACCACTGCCTCTAGGCAGCCCGTCCCTGCGGCTCGCGCTCAGGGGGATGGGCTACAACTGCTAACGGGCAACACGGACGGCTGCGTGTGTGGGGAAAGCGCCGCCTTAGTTGGGTTTAAATGTGTGAACTGGCTTGCCGGGGCGATAGACTCGCAGGCACTCAGTGAGGTCACGTCACTCACTCGCGCCATTACCCACACCTTCACTCACCCACGCCGTAACTCACCCACACGTCACCCACGCCGTCACTCACACGTCACTCACCCACACGTCACCCACACCTTCACTCACCCACACGTCACCCACCCACACGTCACTCACCCACACCTTCACTTACCCACACCTTCACTAACCCACACCTTCACTAACCCACACATCACCCACGCCGTCACTCACCCACACATCACCCACGCCGTCACTCACACGTCACTCACCCACACGTCACCCACACCTTCACTCACCCACACGTCACCCACCCACACGTCACTCACCCACACCTTCACTCACCCACACCTTCACTAACCCACACCTTCACTAACCCACACATCACCCACGCCGTCACTCACCCACACGTCACCCACACCGCCACTCACCCACACGTCACCCACACATCACCCACCCACACGTCACCCACCCACACGTCACCCACTCCGTCACTCACCCACACGTCACCCACACCGCCACTCACCCACACGTCACCCACACATCACCCACCCACACGTCACCCACCCACACGTCACCCACTCCGTCACTCACCCACACGTCACCCACACGTCACCCACGCCGTCATTCACCCACATGCCACCGACACTGTCACTCACCCACAGGTCACCCACACTGTCACTCACCCACACGTCACCCACACCGTCACCCATTCACTCACTGCACATATAGAACTCACATATGTCTCTCACTCGCACTTCACTCAATTAACTCAATCACCACTGTGTGGTGAGTGCTCTGTGTGGCGAGTTCTGTGTGGGCGAGTTCTGTGTGGGTGAGTGCTCTGTGGGTGAGAGCCCTGTGTGTGGTGAATGCTCTAGCAAGTGTTCTGTGCGTGGTGAGTACTCTGTGTGTGGTAAGTAATCTGTGCGTGTGTGTGTGATTGCTCCGTGTACTTGTGGGTTGGGGTCTGCATTGTCAATGTTTGCACAGCTGCAAATCCAGCAACAGGGACACGCATACACACACAGGTGCCTGGCTTCTAACCTCTCTCCTCCGCTCTGTGGAGTCATTATGGCACGGAAAACTTAAAATGCATTTCCTATACAGGGTGATGACCACAGGTGACACCTTCACTGCATACGTGCAGTGTGGAAACTCACAGACTGATGATTAGTGCATCACTCCGTTGGGTAAGTGGTTAGCTGCAGCTACGTTCAAATATAACATCATGTGCAGTGTTGTAGCTATGCTTTTGCACCTGGCCAGTAATGCAGCACTGTGGAGGCATCGAGGGTTGGTGGATAACATTCGTAAAACTCCCAAACCCACTGGACGGTGAGATCGCCACCTTTCAGCGTGCCAGGGTATGATGGCAGTAGAGCAAGTGGGTTAATTTCCATCTGTATTCCATGTGTACAAGTGCAGGGGATTGAGTTACCCCCTTCGCAAGCGTGGGTCTTCTCCCGGTGTTCCGGTTTCCTCCCCTATGTATGGACACTCATTGATGGAGTTGACCAAACGTTCCAATATAGGACCACAGAGGTAGGGCAATTCCTCCCTTGCTTTTTTGTGGTTTCCTACGCCTCTGAATTTAATTAAACAAGTGCGTATTATAAATGTATTAATTTCTTTGACTTATGCAAATTATTTTGTATTATGTGACCTGCGTATAATGGCAATATTTTGAGGACCAATGTCGAGGTCTGCTAGCCGCGAGACGGCTTCAAGAGTTTTGCGATTCCTTAGTTGCAGGAGCGCAGACGACGGTAGTTTACTATATGGTGCACAGTTTTAGTTGCATGGCCACAATCACTCGCCCTCCTGCGGCTTGTCTTTAATCGATCTCTGGGGCTCTGTCTATGGGTTTAATGTACGGTCCACAGTTTGGGTTGCAGGGTGACAATCGCACTGCCGTGCTGTGGATTGTCTTTATTTTTCCATTCATAAAGGAGATGTACGCATTGGCCTGGTGATGGTCTCATGCGAGTAAGCTCATTGGCCTTCCAGCACTCGGGGGATGCTTCGCATTCAAAGCCTGGGCGTGCCCATGTCTTGTCTGTTGTCCTACATCATTGTATAACTGAATCAGAATATTTATTTATCCTGGAGGAAGCCAATGAGCTTTTGAAGCTCTTTTTTCACAGATGTCCAGTAGGGGGTGGGTCAGAAGGTTACATCAATACGAATGGGTTTGTGACTGGAATGTGAACGGTCTTTAATCTCCAGTCGAGTTGTGATGACCCATTGTCCGATGGACTGAATTATAATATTTTTTTAATACTTATAATGAGCTATTTATGCTACTTCAAACATGAGGTTGCCCTCACAGGTGCCATGAAACATCATTTATTTATTTTTCTATAGCGCTGCCCTTTATACGGGTACGGGGGTGATTGTCTTAGAGCGTTTTAAATCACATCTCATGTCAACACAATTCACGGTACTTTGATGATCAATACACCCGCAGTAATCATACCAGTCAACCCCTGATCAATGACTACCCTATTACAGACCAATTCAGACCTTATTGGTCACCCCGTGCCCTTATACATCTCAACGTTCATCCTACAAAGTCCCATCACAAGGGAGAAACACAAATAGACAAAACAAATGTTTGTCCATATTGAAACGGCTGTACGCCGTATGGAGCTGAAAACTAAATTTCCCTGTGCAAGAATAGGGCAAAGCGTACAGCTCTGAGTAATACAGACCCGCAGTAATAACCAGCCCTGGCCACGGTGTTCAAACCGCAAACCTTTGCAAGGAGCGGTGGTGAACGCGTTACCGCCCTCGACATGGATTTGCCTGAGGTTCTCTGTGAGGCTCCTACAGACAGCATCAGCTGGTTGCCCCGGGGCCTCTGTGTCGCTCCTACAGACAGCATCAGCTGGTTGCCCCGGGGCCTCTGTGTCGCTCCTACAGACAGCATCAGCTGGTTGCCCCGGGGCCTCTGTGTCGCTCCTACAGACAGCATCAGCTGGTTGCCCCGGGGCCTCTGTGTCACTCCTACAGACAGCATCAGCTGGTTGCCCCGGGGCCTCTGTGTCGCTCCTACAGACAGCATCAGCTGGTTGCCCCGGGGCCTCTGTGACACTCCTACAGACAGCATCAGCTGGTTGCCCCGGGGCCTCTGTGAGGCTCCTACAGACAGCATGAGCTGGTTGCCCCGGGGCCTCTGTGTCGCTCCTACAGACAGCATCAGCTGGTTGCCCCGGGGACTCTGTGACACTCCTACAGACAACATCAGCTGGTGGCCCCGGGGCCTCTGTGGGGCTCCTACAGACAACATCAGCTGGTTGCTCCGGGGCCTCTGTGAGGCTCCTACAGACAACATCAGCTGGTTGCCCCGGGGCCTCTGAGGCTCTTACAGACATCATCAGCTGGTTGCCCCGGGGACTCTGTGACACTCCTACAGACAACATCAGCTGGTGGCCCCGGGGCCTCTGTGGGGCTCCTACAGACAACATCAGCTGGTTGCCCCGGGGCCTCTGAGGCTCTTACAGACATCATCAGCTGGTTGCCCCGGGGACTCTGTGACACTCCTACAGACAACATCAGCTGGTTGCCCCGGGGCCTCTGAGGCTCTTACAGACATCATCAGCTGGTTGCCCCGGGGACTCTGTGACACTCCTACAGACAACATCAGCTGGTTGCCCCGGGGCCTCTGTGACACTCCTACAGACAGCATCAGCTGATTGCCCCGGGGCCTCTGTGGGGGTCCTACAGACAGCATGAGCTGGTTGCCCCGGGGCCTCTGTGTCGCTGCCTACAGACAGCATCAGCTGGTTGCCCCGGGGACTCTGTGACACTCCTACAGACAACATCAGCTGGTG